AATACACTAGGGCTATCTGCCTAAGGGGAGGGATGCCTTTAGCGGAGGACTTTCTAAGGGAAGCTGGCTCGTATACACGTTACACATGGGGAAAACCACGAAAACGCCCATGCAGCCAGCCCGTTCGCGGGATTCGAACCTCGGACCGAACTACCAGCATTCAAAGACTGTATCATTTATCTAATGATTGTAATCTCTTATTATTGGTATGTATTACCATTTTGTTTTGCTTTTAATTTATTTACAATAAAATGCTTAGTAAAATAAGTTCAAATAAAATCTGAATTTATTACATGTTTCAAAATTTTTGCCTTGTTATTTTTATTATTTAGGTTTTATTTAAAACTGAAATTTTGTCACGTACTCTCATTTTAATGCTTCTCGTTTTTTTTACGGAAGAGTGTAGATGTAACTTTACATATTGAAAACTCCTTCCGAATTAAGCAGCAAATTTAGCTTTAAAAGGTTAAAGGATACAAACAACATACCTGAATTATAATTCCCTTTAGAAATTTTTTGAAATATTATATTAAAAAGGGATTCCAATAAATAGTATTTTTACACTGAATACTAGTTCATCTTTCAGATATCATGCATACTTACGAGGAATTAAGTGTGCAAATGATAAATGTTTTAATGCGATAAATATTAGATGAGTGTTATCTCAAAAATAATAATAACAAAAATAACAATAACCCTCTCGAATGCAAATGCCATGCCCAAATACAGATTGAATGAATATTCAATTCTAATAACGCACCAGTTCCATGACATCAATGGAGATCGATTTATAACTAAAACTATAACTTAGAACTGACCATCACAGAGGACTGAAAACTGACAGAGAAGGTAGGAAAACCTACAGAAACTGTGAACTGATAACTGCATACATTTTTCACTGTCGCGCCATCCTTAACGATTTGTTAAAAATTGGAATCTTGGTTAAGAGAGTGAACCTCTATGAAATATTTTGCAGATCGTTAGGGCTGTCATCTTCGCCTATGGCATTATTTGAATAAAAATTACAATAGACAGGACAACAACAACATTAGGTGTGTGTTGCTGAAAACTCAAGAGTTATGAGAAATTTCCATGTTACTCGATCCGTTAAATAGTTCTAATATATTGATGAAGATATGCATAGTAGAACTCTATGGAACTGAGTAAATGGTAACGCATCCCCCTTTCGAGTATTTATTTATTTATTTTAACAAATGGCGGGCACTTGCCTCTAACGGCCACTATTAAGGCCAGAAGTGGTAGCCCATTTTATTGTGGAGGCACCTAATAAGCGGCCACCGTTACCTCCTATGAAGGGGACAGACAATTAACATCCATGCCTTCTCCGGGATTCGAACCCGGGCCCTTTGGCATCGCAGTCAGACTTCCCTAACCACTAGACCGTCTGGGCGGCCCCTTCGAGTATTTGAAAGACATAACTAATTGGCGGAAGGTAGTTTGCTTGCAAATTATACCATCTTATAGGCCAAGCGAAAGAATCCTTTTTCATTTATCGTATTTTATTTCGACAAACATTATGCAGGTAAAAAAATCTTATTTTAGTTTGGCTAAACCGGCAAGCCATTTTTATTCAAATCTATTTTGTGCATGTTTATTCACTGAAGTTTTGCTTTATTTATGTTATATTTTTATCAAAATTTTATTTAATGAAAAATTAATATTTAGTTTCTAATTGCGCACCCGTCTTCATTTCAATAAAATGAAACAAATTAAATTTCTTTCTTGAAAATGGCCCTGATATAATAAATATACTGTGTTTAGTTAGGCTACTTGTGGAAAAAGTAGTTTTTCTGGCTGACCAGTCACTTGCAAAATAAACATAATATAGTAAGCTTATACGTAATATGTAGTTTTCTGTAAATGATTTTGAGTTACATATTTGCCGAAAATTATGGCAACATTTATGCATATTTATCTATGGTAATTAAATAAGTTTTTAAAATATTTACTGTTAATACTATCTTTTTATCTTATTTCAATCAGCAAATATAATTAAACTCATGAAGTAATAATTTACTTGACACGGAAACGGAAATGAACAATTGCTATAGCTGGATTTTCTAGTACCTAAAATCCGGGTAATAAGAATTTCGTATTTCGTAAGTCCTAGTGTGCTTAAACGAGATAACGTTAAAGCGTATTGGCAATAAAGTTTTTAATAAATCATTTTTACTAACTAGTAATAAAGCCTGATTTTACTAATTTTTAACCTAAATAAATGCGTCTATATTATTGTTTGAGTTTAATATTTGGTAGCGCTATAATTTTAGAGATAGAAAGCTGAAACATTCGCTTTTCCCAAGTAAAACTCGAAATGTTCTCAGTGACTTTTCTGCTTAGCTGCTTCATTTCAAATGGAGAAATGTATACGTCCAATCCAAATGCGTTCTATCGTTTCTAGATTTCGAATTCTAGTTTTTGTTCCTAAGCTTTTTTCCGATTCGTGTATTTCAAATTTAGAAGATGTAGGAGGGAGGAAAAATTTATGTTCTCGTGGAATGATGAAATAAGAATTTCATTCTCTTTACGTTTTTCGTATCATTCTGTTTTCTTGTACCGTAACCATGGTTTTTGATTCCATCCCAAGGTGAAATGGTACCCCTGGGTGAACCATTCACAATGTAACAATTTGCCAAAGATTTAGGAAGGATAGCATTTCGGAGCGAATCATTTGTAGCTTGATTTGGAACCCCGATTTTATTCTGCAATCATTTATATACTTTGCCTATTACGACCGAAACTGAGAAATGAATAACTCGTATCTAAAGCGTAAGATACTCTCTGTATGTTTTTCAAAGCGTGCTTTTATGCTTTTAAAATGTTACAAATATGCTAGGAACAAAGTTTTTAATTTGAAGTTATCTTTTGTTTTCGTTTTTTTAGAAACGTCAAGAATTCTTCACAAGTAATCCTAAATGTCCAGTTTTTACTCTATCTTGCTTAAGAAAGCAACCGTAGAATTGTACCCATACACCTCATTTCCATATAAGTCAGGGGAATAAAGTTCAATACGTATCTTTGTATCCCATTTTATAAACTCTATACTCTGGATCTAAACCCATGTCGGCGTCTCGCGTTGCCACGTTAAACTCCACTTCAATATCAATAAAATCGTTTGCGGCGCCCCCTCTATTCTTGCAGGGATCTTAATTACAAACCAAATTTATACGTACTTCTCCATCAGAGCCGAAACCCCACTTATGCAGATCTCAACATGAATAGGATAAACGACTTATAGAGGGATAATTTTTGTTACACTTATCTAAATAACTTACAAAGTAACTATTGCAAATTAAAATTAGAAGTTTGATTTATATAGTTTTTATCTTACATGTATATTTATTTCTCACTGTCTCTGGTTCTTTCCCTCTTTATATATATATATATATACAGAGAGAGAGTACCATCAAGTAAATATTATCAGCTCACATTAATTTGCTAATGTAATTTACAAGAAATGTATTATCATTAAATCAGCTATGAATTGTTCAATATGTCATTGTGGGAATATCTCTAAATATACCACTTTATTGTTTAAAGATCACAAACCAATATTCATATGCCTGCACTGCAAACTGAAACAGACAAATTCGTCAAATGTTATTTTTTCATACCTCGTAACTGAGAACATTGCTATCTGAGAAGATCTTGATCTATATTTAGCTTCAAGAAACTAATAGCGCTGCTATTACATTATGTTACTTTCACTGATCGAGATCTTTTTTGGTTTCTGAGACATTCGTTTCCCGTTCGGGACCGCCCCTTTGTCCCATGATTGACGGGACGATCGCTCAATCCGTCTGATAGAGTGACAAGGTCGGGACCCCGAAGCTCCTCCTACTCACTAATGAAGGGCACCGACGTTGTCACGAGAGGCAGACGATGAAATAATAACTAGAGTCACGTGACAAACGGAACTAGTAGTCAGCTCTTTAAAGGAATGTCAGGCTATCGAGTATCAGTGTGCATCTGTTACACCGTTGTCCAGTTGATAAACAGAACTGAGGTAATAAGGTTTGGGGAAATACAGTACGTGTCAAAGAAATAGCAAAATAAGACTAGGAAAAAATGTATATGGGCATCTAATTACATTTTGATAAATCTTTGGAGCATTTTTTGAAAAGCTCTTATGTTTCATAAGAAAGTCAGATTTTAGAAATATCATCAAATTATGACATTTGTTCTAATTGACTTACGTTATAAGAAACAATAGTATCCTACATTTTGTTACACGTAACGGTGAAATAATTCATTTAAACATAAAAACTCAGAATCCAGTTACTCTGATTTTGAATTAAGATGAGACAGCCATATGATCTTGGAGATAAGAGAAATGATTGGTCAAGTTACGAAAGTTTTCCTTTTTCCTGTATGCAAGCGGTGCATTCACGAATACAAGCATGTACTGGGAGGCCTTAATAATGCTCCCCCATAAAGGCATAGGCACCTTCATGCAAGTCCGCTACTGTTCGTCAAGACAGGAACTTGTACGATCATTTGACATAAAAGTGTCCGCATTCTTATGAAAACCAGTTTTTAAAGCTTTCTGTACAAAGATGTCAGTTTACTTTCTTAATCAAAATACTAAGCTGAAACCCTATTTGTATAGCGGTGTTTCACCAAAATAATCAAGTAACTTTTGCTTACTTCTTCAAGCTAAAAATGTATCTCCGTAGGGATGTCACACTTTTGCATCAGTGTATGCTTGTGAAAGTTTCTGTCTTGGCGATCGGTGCTTGGCTTGCATAAAGGTTCTGGAACTTTTATGCAACAATCCTCACGAACATTTTATTACATAACTTGAGGTACAAAAACAGAGTTTAATCATAGTCAGAATAACTGAAACCATAGGCACTGATAAAATCTGGGTGTCTTTACTTCAACATTTGGCAGTGTGTAGTAGCAATAAATGGTATTTTGTCTTGTTGTCAGTTACATCTACACTCTTCCATAATTTTTTTTTGTTATCTTTTCTATAGCATTGAATCTCAGATAGTTTCCTGACACCACTGACGAAGTAATACGAGTGAAAGGAGAGGCCCTGACTGGTTTTTCCCGTTCAACTGGTTTCAAGCAGTCACCTTCCGCTTGTTTATCCAAACATTCAGTGATTTGCCATTAAGACCAATGGGTTTTAAGCCGTTCCGCCTTCTTTTCCTATACTATTTCAGATCCTAATTATTTGGAAGATCACGTTTTTTAAAACAATATTTAATTCTAAAGGGAATGAAATGCTATAACTTTTACTGCGCTCAGTTCTCCCTTTCAACTGGTTTGAAGCAGTCACCTCCCGCTTGTTTATCTGACATTAAGACCAATGGGTTTTAACCCGTCGTAAATATTCTGCATTTCATTTAAATGAAATTTTTCACAAGTTTTCGTTAATTATATTAGAAAGAAAGATTGATTTGATTAACTATCACAAAAGATTAAAATCAAAGTTTTACGCTATTGTTAATATTAAAATCGCTTGTTATATCTTTTCTGTTTATGGAGTCATTTTTGAAATATTTTCTCAAATATGAAAAGATTTTTACTTTTCCTGAAATTTCGCTTAAATCAAAAATTATATTCACAGGGTAATTAATGTTCTCTTTAAATTAAAATATTTTTTGAAAGGTTAAATATCTCTGTTGATATCTAATTTCCATGTTGTTTGCATTCTATAAGAGAGGAGACAGTGAAGAAAAACATTAATATTCTTCAACACTTACAAATGAATTATTATGAAATGTAAGGAAATAATTATTTTAAAGCATTTCAAAATTTTGTCCTCATATTCAACAAAATGAATTCTAAAAATTCTATCCGGCAATTGCCATAAGTACGTGTAGCATCTCGTGTTCTCTGCTTTCCGTAACCTTTAATAGACTGTTTTCTAGTGCAAATACTTCCTGCTTAAATAGTTTATAAATATATCTGTTCAATAATACTTTTAATTTATGCTTACTGTAAAACGTTAGTCATTAGATAATCTGTATATATTTAATAATTAGATTTCTTGATAGTAAAAACATGGAAGATGTAAGTAAGATGTATGTTAATAGCTATTTTCATTTCATGAGTGTGCTTGAAGAAAAATTATAAAATTTCAATTATTTTAAAGCATTTCGAGCATTTTCTTTTTCTTTATTAGCTTTGAAATCTGCTAAAGTTTGGTAAACGATTCATGTAATAAAAAAAAAAAAAAAAAAAAAAAAAACCCAGTTTTCAACAGTAATATAATTTTTCGATCTTTTACGTTTCATTTGTGGTTTCCTTGTATTTATTTTTTGTTTAGTTTTCTTACAGTTTGGAACTACATTTTTCAGTCAAAAGTTAACAGAAGTATAATATAACTATTCATCTATTTCACACATAGAAACAAAGGTTTTTACATCCGTATACAGTTCAATTTTCAAGTTCCAAAGAAGCTATCAAAGTAACAGGAGCTGGATGTAAACGAAAGTGCCACACCCTCTTAGACTATCAAAATCTCGAAAGCACTGCGTCAACCACGGAGGAAAAAGGCGTCTCTTTTTTTCCTCTTTCCTCCGTGCCTCACATACCGATAACATTTAACAACTTTGTCACGATTAATTAACCAATGAAGAAATTTCAGAAAGTGTAGAGCATGGAAAACAAAATATCCTGAAGCATTTTTTTTTTCAAATAAAAAACTACAATAAAAAATAGAAAAGGAAAATAGGTTGCTATAAATTAAGAAGTTGTCCAAACAAATTATTCTTGGCGAAAACTGAAAAAAAAAAAAAAAAAAAAAACTCGCCAAGATAAATTTTTGAATTTCTCTGTAAATCTCGCTGTAAATTTTACAAAATTTAATATTTAGGTATAATGAGTCTTAGAATCGAAATATGGAAAAAAGGTGGCATATCATTTCAGAAAAAGTCCGATTTCGTGTCACAATACCTATGTTAGAATGATGCTATATCTAAATCTAACATGAATTTTAAGTCGCGCTTTCGAGACATGAAAAACGCAATTTGAATGTCGTCAGTAGGTCCAATAGAACGGGAGATATAGAACTGTTTTCCTCCCCCCCGCACTATTTATGCAATGAACCACTATATGAACTATAAGATGACCACTTATCGTTGTCCGACAATTATGGTCTTCTGTGGAGATGCTGGTCTTTAACAAATTTATATTTAATACGATGTTTTTTTTTTTTTTATGCTGTTGGAAATAGACATTGTTTCAGCTTCAAGAATAGGCACTTTATAGTAGGGTAGTCATAGGAAGGTCATCATTACGAGAGATTCACCATATATATATGTCATAATAAAAGCAAAGGAAAAGACTGAACACTGTAGATGCGTTATTAAACCCATACTGAAGAAGAATTTGATTGCGTAGTATGCTTATAATGCTAACTTGGTAATATCTAAAGAACTTGGCAGTCGAAGCAGTTTTAATTCCCTTTTTATTTCCAATTGATATTTGTGGCCACAATCACTTGGCACTCTAGTCGTGCCTTTCCACAGAAGATTTACATTTTTGATATTGTTGAGATAGAAAGCAAGCCAGCGAAATTACATCTTAGCACAGCACAGAGCAAAAGCTGAAGTGCGTAGTTATGAAAGATGGAGGCACGTCGAAGAGAAAAGTTTTGGTTTACAATTCAGTGATTGGTCGTCAACAGGCATCTGGTATTAACGGTTACGTAAGATAGCATGATTAATTTTAATGACGCAATGCAGATAAGTTATTACGATTTTAGAATAAAGAGGAAGAATTAATGTTTATAGTTATAATTCTGATTCATACATTTTTATCTTACATATATATTATATTATATTTCAGAAATCTAATCCAAATTGTTTGGTACAATAGTTTTTAGATTAGAAATTAATTGAAAAATAATGAGACTTGTTCAAGCTCGCGTTAACGCAACATGATTCTCATTAGGTTAAAAATTATTATCAAAATTTAAGCCCAAAATGTTTCCTATCATATCAATTTAGATGGCATCAATTTTTATACGCATAAAATCACATTTCCAGCGATTTTGATAACTTGTGAAGTAATGCGCAGTTTACTTCGTTTTAAAGTAGACTGAAATTACCTCTTCGCTGTGAAAAGTTCCCCAATTGGGAAGAGATTTCTCTTATGCCAGAATGTTCATTTTCCTTCCCTGTTCGACTTATTGCCTATATCCGCTTCGGTTATTACTTCCCAAAGCTTTTTGCTAATATACTTTAAACGATATCGTCACCGTTATTTTGCCATAAAATGTCGGCAGCTCGTAGTTAAAGAAAGTCTGTTCTTTGAGAACTAGTATTTCACAATTAAAAAGAATGAAGAACTGAAAACTGTCCCGTTAGGGAAAACGAAAAGACCATAAGGAACTAATTAAACCTTCTGCGCTGCATTAAAAGACATTTAAGGAAATAATTTACTGTCAAATCTGATTTCTGAAGTAAAAAGGTAGTCGTATAAAAATTCATTGCTAATGTATCACTTGATATCTCTCATAGGGATTTTAAATAAAACCTTTCTAATAGCACCTTGTTGTAAGTTTTATGATGTTTCTAATGGCTTTAGTAAGCCAGTACATGTTTGCCAAGCCAGAAGCCTTCACAAAAGTGCCTTGCGCAAAGATGACCATACTCTCATGAATATTAGTTTTTTACTTATGAAATATTATAAGGTATTATCTTCCTCCTTCCAGCATGCCCTCGTGGTGTAACGGTAGTACACTCAGCGCGTATTCGAGAGGTCCAGGTTCTAATCCCAGCGAAGGCATTGCACATTTTTCATGTCTCTTGCTTCAAAATAATCTAATGACGCTACAAATGGCGCCCTGACTAAAAAGTGGAGGATGATAATTTGTCACCACGATTTGGCGATTGGGTCCCCAAAACCCCAGTCGCTCTTTAAAAGGGGGTTTATAAGGTATTTTCTCCCTCGTTTCCGCATGCCTTCGATGTGTAATTGGAAGCATACTTGACGCGCATTCGAGAGATCCAGAGCTCGAGTCTTGGGAAGCGCACTGCACATTTTTCACGTCTTCTGATTTGACTCGACACGTTTCCAAAAGAAATGAATTCTTCACTTCTTTTCAGAGTTTCTTGAGCTTTCATGCCATTGTCTATCACAATAATTCATAGGTGATTTATTGATAAGCTTTCGAAAATCCTAAATAAGGACATTATAACGTTAAAACAGTAATACTTTAATACGCAATTTTTAAAGTTATTCATTTGCACATTTTTCATGTATCTTGCAGCAAATTAACCTAATGACTCTACAATATAACTTTCATTAAGACAGTTACAGATTAGAATGAATAGAGCAAACGAAAATTCTACTTGCAGAGCGGTGCCATCACACATACGCAACAATTTTTGTCTGAAACTTGTCCACCCCCCAAAGTTAAAAGAAATTTCCTATTTTGTAGAATATTGGGTGACTTGCAAAAAGGTCTTTTATGATTGGACACACTGACGCAGCGGTGTCTGAAATCTTTCAACAATGTTATTCTATGGTATTTAAGTTTAGTCCTAGAAATATATATATAAAAAAAAAAAAAAAAAAATGTTGTTGATTAAACTACTGTTTTATCGAAATTAGAATGCCAATTTCTTACGTAAAATGAAGTTTCTTTAAAAATCTTTAAAGTTATAAAGTTGAAAGCTCATTTAGGAGGCAAAAGTTTAAATGTTGATACATACATCTGCATTTACTATATCATACTCTGTAGAGAACTATCGCATTCATATGCGTGTGCTCTGATGGAGTATATGGATAGAATACTCAGCTATCAGACTCATCAGCCACCGAGCAACATATTCACTGAACACTGGTAGTTCGGTCGGTGGTCCGAATTCCGACGAACGAGCTGGCTGCATATGGACGTTTTCATTATTTTCCCCAAAACCTTTTCCACGAAGGCATACCACCTAGACAGTCCCTCGAGAGTTTTGCCATAACTGAATAAAATACACCAAACTCAGCTGGCATGTGGAAGTTTAGTGGTTTGGATCCCGGCAAGAATACAGTTGACTTTCAACGATTCTCGTTTCGAAAAGCCCTATGGTCGTCTATGGTTATGCTCGAATTAAAGAACGATGGCGCTAATTCGTCCAGGCTTGAATTTATTGTCCTTTAAGTAGGGAAAAACATAAGGAATAATTGGGTCCTTCCGTGTCCGTCCTTTTGGTTGCTAGCAGCTGGAGGATAGAAGATTCGAATTATGGCGAAGACATAACTGATTTCTTAAGTTTCTTGATTTAGAAAAAATGTAAAAATCTTTGCCGTGGCACTGAAAATAAAATATGATTGGCAGAACTCGTCATAACTTTCATTTCGTCGGCCGGTTCTCCTGCCTCTTCCCAGTCGACCCCTAAAAGTGGAAGAGAACCTAAGTAATTGTCTCATTTTTCCACTCATGCTCTTGTAGTGTAAGTGATTATCCCATTCACTCACAAGTGGAAGATCTGGGATTCGAACCCTCGCGACAGAGTAATTAGATTTGATGCTTTTTCCAAAATTTCCAGTGCCCTTTTTTTTTACCACTACTTTGAATGTCGTTTCTGACGGTGAATGAATCGCATTCTGATGGTGGAAAATCGCAAGATATTTAATATTTAACTATTGCAAAAAGCAAAATATGCTGTTTAGGAAATTTAGAATTAAAATAGAAGGTATTTATTACTATAATTAGCATATTGAATTAAGTCAAATAGTTTAAGGAAACTCAAACCCCTATATGAAATTTGAGATAATTAGCGTAAAATCATTGTCTACAGCTATTCCAATAAATTCTAGCGAATTTCCAATAAAGTCTCAAAAGGCAACTATAATAATAGTGCAAATAATAACAGAAAAAAATTCTCAAAGGGAAGTTTTGATTAATGTGCAGAACAATTGAATCACACACTCTTTTATATAGAAAACATGAGATTTTCATCAGCTTTAGGATCCCTTTCATAGTTAATTTTTTTCTGTAATAATGAACTTTAACTATTGATAAAACTCAATTTCTGATATTCATTTAAAGGAAGAAAAAAAATTCACTTCTCAAGATCTTGTCGCTTCTCTTCAATATAACAGTTTGTTCTTAGATCTCTTTTCTGAAGAAGAACTTTTAGGTTCTGTTTCGGATAATTTCATATGCTATGGAAACAAATGTCTGGCACTGGAACATGAGAGACCAAGCAGTTTGTTTTCAAAGTGTCTGAGCTTTATCCTTTCAGATCA